ATATAATTTGAGTATATCCTAATATAGAATCTGAATCTAGTGAGAAGATCAGTAAAGCTATATTGTATTCGCAGGATGCGGTTGATATATGCTATCGTATTTCATTCGGATCGAAGTCGATTTGGTGCAAGCGGCCAGTCGTTGCGCGTCTGATTATTGATTGAACATTAAAAGAAGTGCAGTAGGCTTTTCTCAATCCCGTATGTACAGGTGTTCGTGCTATTTTCGTGATTGAATCTGATGTGATAAGCTTTCCGAATAAGCCTGGTATCTTATAAGAACCCTAAAAGTCACTATAGACTCTCTCTAATGGGCTTTTACAATGTTCTGAAGCTTTCCGATTTATTATTCTTACTGATTTCGAGGTAATATAAGCTTCGCATAGCTTTATTAAGCCTTTAATTGGTTCTTTCAAGCCTTTAATAGCTTTATATAGTGTACTAAGACTTCCTGGGCTCAAGTGACCTAATTTTCGATGTTACAATACTGCTTCCTTTTGTTTAGGAACTTTTATCAATTTAAAAGCTTTTAAACTATTAACCCTATATTGATCAGATCCTTCAAGGATATAGACATACCCTATTCGATAGACAGTATCTACAGTCACTCCTTGATATTGTATCAGTAGCTTCTTTTCAGGATTAGTTATAGTTATTATAATCAGTCCTTTATCTTAAAGCTATAAAACCGAGATTAACAATCCTGCTAGTCCTAGAATATATAAAACTCGAGTTAAGGGTGTAAGCCTAATTTCCCCTTCAATTTTAACCTTTAAAATTATAGTCCCTTTACTAATAGCTTTAATTACAGCTTCCAATATTATAATAATATTAATAGGTTTATTTAATAGTTTATAATCACTAAATTCCTCCTTAGTATATGTTATATACCTTGAGTATCCTGAATTCACTATTCATATAGATTCTTGAGAACACTTTTGGCTTATATTAGTCATCCAACTAATCTCAGCTGATTTTGCTTGTTCTGCTTTTGGTGATAGGCTTTTACTATTATTAGATATCGATAATGGTTTAGTAGTTAGATTATTCGAATTAAAACTATCCGGATCCTTTTTAGCCTTTCTATAATCAGCCTTTTTATACCCTCCCTTTTTGTAATTAAAGTATTTTTCTTTAAATCCTTTCGAATCTATCTTTACATTAAGAGCATTTTCTTTTATATTCTTTCTAAAGCCCATTCGACACTTGAATTCTATGAATTTAGCCACCATAGTACTAAAACTTAATGGTTTATCTCTAACCTCTAATTGAAAAATTAAGGGATCAAACCGTGAATCTATATCCCTGATTACTTTATAAAAGATTGATATTTTTAATATATCCAATATGTCACGGGGTAACACTAAGCCCTTTCTGTCCTATTCTATCCTGCTATATATGTGAGAGTAAAGTAGAACTTCTAATTCTATCTCCTAGTCTTTTGAGTGTTTAGCTCAGCGGTAAAGTTTTTGAATATTTTCAGAGGTGATCTTGTGATATTAGGTAAAACTATCTTTGGTTATAAATAAAGCTGTGTAGGAAGCCCACTTATAGCTTATAAGCCTTTATTGGTTTAGGGGCTAGTATATATAGATCCTGTCTGCCTGTCTGAATGCTTAAGGTATTAGAATCCAGAATCCTGAAATCTCCTAGTAGGTAATAATATGGAGATTATACTTTAAAGAGGGGGGTGATGTTACAGGGTGATACTAAACCCTTTTTGTTTTATTCTATCCTGCTATATATATGAGAGTAAGGTAGAACTTCTAGTTCTACCTTCTAGTCTTTTGGGTGTTTAGCTCAGCGGTAAAGCTTCTGAATACTCCCAGAGGTGATCTCGTGATACAATAGCTTCTTTATTGATTGATTGATTGATTGATTTAATTAACGTCCACCTTCAGTCTATGACTATATAGGACGGCTAGACTATAGTGGTCTAGCAGGTAAATTTTAAAGTACAATAATTGGAATAGCGCACTTAGGGGAAGTGAAAACAAAGGTTGGGGTCTTATACCCACTACTATACGTAGTCTAGCTTCTTTATTAATGATATTTTACTTATTTCAACTTGTAAGGTATTAAGATAATTAGCTATCTCTATTATCTTAGCTGAACTTCCTTCTGATATCTTATATTCTATAAAAGCTTGTATTTTAGAGCTTAATTGTTGTTGCTCTAATGGCTGATATATATCTTTCAGTATTTTCCATTACTCTTTAGTAGTTGAGCAGAATAATATAAAGTTTAAAGCTTTCCTTTTGTAAAGGCTTATAATAATTATACTAGCCTTTACGTCTATAACTTTCGGATCCTTTGATCCTAAAGCCTCCTTTCTAATATCTGTACCTTTCTCTACCACATTCCAAAGGCTCTAGCCTTTAAGAAGTTGCTTTATTTGAATGCTTTATGGTCTATAATTCGTACCAATAAGCTTACTGATCTTCGGCTTTTCGAAACCGTAATCTTCCTCCATTCTAACCTGTAGTCTAAGTGTACTAAGCTTTATAAATCGATTTTATAAGCTTCTCTTCGGATTGATCGAATTGAAATATCTAAGTCCTAGCACTATCCCGGGCTTATAACCTTTTGTTCAAAGGTTTATTATATATATAAATGATATATAATATATATACGAGTAATGACTTAGATTTAATATTATCCTTTTTTGAATATTGATTTCAATTTGATTATTTATTTATAATGATAGAGGATCTATATATATAGGCCTTTTAGGACTATCTAGAACCTTCTATTTTATCTCTTGTATTTCTAATCAATATCATTATTGCTACAAGACTAGAATCTTCTATAAGCCTCTGTCGATCCTGATTACCCCTCATTCCTAGTGACCTTAAATACAAGGCATTAAGGTTCAACAATTTGCTTATTCTTATCCTTCAGTTTCTAATAAAACTTACTCGAACTTTTAAAGGAATATATGGAAATCTTGATTACTCTATCAAATTCGATTAATCTTTGTAAAAGCCTTGGCTTTCTTTTGAGAGTTAGTAAATATTTGATTTAGTTATCTTAGTAGTCCTTCCGATATAAACTCGACTATGTCCTTAGCATATTGTATCCAGGGGTAAATTCTTGTAGCGACATTGTTTGATAGCTGGCTAAATCTGTACTATACTTTTTCCATCTTATTGCTAATAGCTCTTGTATTGATTTCCAATTTGGCTTTTAATAGACTTCTGAAATAAGGGTATTGAGTGTTGTCCTTATTACTAAACTTATCTGAATGTGGAAATGAATATTGAGATTTTCTTTATTCAAATTTAAGATTTAAAGAGAGTTTATTTCCGATATTTGTTAAAATAATAAATCTATATTGATTATTAGTAATATACATTATGAATTGCATATACTATGTAAACCACTAGGAGGGTTTTATAAATATTTCAAAGAATACTTAGAGTTGTTATTGATACCCTTAAAAGAATATTCTCTAAGGTTTAGGTTGTTTTTATTGGTCTATACTTATATTGTATTCTATTGTGATAGTGATTGATTACTGATTAGATATGACTAACTGATTAATTGATTAATTAATTGACTGACTAACTAACTAACTGACTAATTGATTGACTAATTGACTAACTAATTAACTGATTAACTAATACTATCTCTGATCTGTAGTGGATGAGAGTAATATACTTCTAATGTAAGAGACCAACTTCGAGTAGCTCAAAAGTAGGGTTCAAGATTAACTATTAAGAAATATATAAAGAGTTTGTATAAATACTATTCCTTTCTTTTATATATATTGAAAAAAAAGGATTACAAAAAGTACTAAAAACTTGTAGAACAAATAATATTGTCAGAAATAGACAGCAAGTTACGCATAAGGAGTGATATATTGAAATATGTATATCAGATCTATATATCCGGGAAGTCCGAAGAAGGAGTTTTATAGTGGTGTGCACGTGCCACACACGTGTTACACATGTGATTTCCAACAAATATAGATCCATGCTTTTGCAAAGGCTATGGCCCGAGCTTCCAAATGGGTTCCTAACCCTCACAGCAAGACAGAAATGCCGTCAACAAGATCAGAAAGATATCATTTGTTTTGGTTCAGAACAAAAACAATAGTACCAAAATGGGCCATAAGCTACACGAAAAAACTGGGCTGGAAAGAAGGAGGCGGCTTGGGTGTCCTTCTTGAAGGTGTTGTCGAGTATCCAAAAGCTGTGAAGATTGAATATATTATTCAGCGGCCTGGGATATTACAAACTCTTGAGGGCTACAGAGGAAGGTGAAATGGTTTTTGCCACAATCCTCGAGACGAATCTCATTAGGAGGATCACAACTTCGACCTATCAAAGCCGAATCACGAAGAGTACCATTGCTACAAACATGAGATGATATTCGTCTCACTGAAAGATAACGAGGAAACGTTGGAGATGGCTGCCACAACTTTGCTAGGAGTCCCTGCGAACCATGGAACGAATTCCACGTGAGAAATAGCAAGATTCCCTAAAAACGCCGAAATGGAAGCTTTCAGGGAGTTGAGAAAGCGGGGTGTGTTAAAGGATGGGGAGTATGTATATTCAAAGCATGCACGATACATGAAGCGCGCTGCAAAGCAGGCGACTTGGCTAGCCAAGTTTTTAGAATTCATCATTTCAACGGCAAATTTAATTGATTTGCTTGAAATTGTTAGTAGAGATGGAAGCAAGGAATTTCGGGTATGTAAATTAACGTAAGACTTACAACGAACATCCACGTATCATAGAGATTTTTGTGTTTAAGAACATATAAATGAGTTAGAAAAATTCGACAATAATGAATAAGCTGTTGATGGTTTACAATTCATGGAGATATAATAAGCCATCACAGACTTTAAGAGAAAGCTTCGTGTTGTGGAAAATGGAACTTTAAATATTGGTATCTTTTTATCATGCACATACACGACGACGACGACGACAACAACGATGGCTATGACCCCATCTACCATAGTAGAACAAGCTAACAGCCTATTTGCTTTCAAAGAACCTACAGTCTTGTGCCCAAGTTGATATGAACGGCTTTGACTTGTGAATAAGCTAAAATGAGTGAAAAAAATCAGTAAAAAATCGTAATCAAATCGGAACGACGTCGAAAGATGACGAGATTGATTGGAAACAGAGGGATAACAACCAATTAGTCCAGCCTGTCCTAATTCCCTGCCAATACCACTCTTTGTTTTGACGTTAGCAAGTGATACACGCGTTTGAAAATGGCAGGAAGGTTGACATACCTGCTTTACGCCTCCGAATGGAATCCTATAGTCTGAATCTTGACTGCTGTTGATCCAAACCATACCCGCTTCGATTCTCCTGGCAAGCTTATGAGCTCTGTCTAGATTAGTTGTAAAGATTGCCGAGCCAAGACCATATGTCGTGTCATTAGCCATTTCCACTGCTTCTTCCTCCGTCTTGAAGCTAGCAATGGCACAGAATGGTCCGAAAACTTCCTCTCTGTAAATCCTCATGCTTGGCTTGACATCTGTGAAGACAGTGGGGGTAATGAAGAACCCCTTCCCTGAAGGATGAGCGTTTGTGAAAGCTTCACCTCCGGAGAGTAGTGTGGCACCTTCATCTTTACCTATTTGAACGTAACCTAGTACGCGGTCGTACTGAGCTTTAGTGACTTGCGGACCTTGGAATGTGGTTTCTGCGAATGGATCACCAACGACCGAAACTTCTTTGACTTGCTTTTTAAAGGCGTCAATGAACTTATCGTAGATAGAATCCTGCACGAGGATTCTAGATGTGGCGGTGCAAATTTGACCTTGGTTCGACATAATACCTTGGACGGATTAGCAAATGGGAGAATTGAAGGATTGTGCTACAGGAGAAAAGAACATGACACGACATGTGGCTTTCGGAATAAAAACGTACCAAAATGCGCCCATTTGACGGCCTGGTCAAGATCTGCATCATCGAAAATCATCAAGGGAGATTTTCCTCCCGTCTCTAAAGTGATGTTTTTCATGGTGCCAGCAGCCATCTTCATAATTTCTTTTCCTGTGCTAGTGCTACCGGTAAAAGCCACTTTATCAATATCTTGATGTGTTGCAATTGCAGCTCCCGCTTCTCTGCCATACCCGTTCAAAATATTTACCACGCCTGGTGGGAAGCCTGCTTGCTTAATCAAGTTTGCGAGGACAAGAATACTCAACGGAGTTTGTTCCGCAGCCTTCATCACAACAGCATTACCACATGCCAAAGCGGGACCTAATTTCCATGCAGCCATACCCAATGGATAATTCCATGGGATAATTTGGCCACATACTCCTATTGGTTCCTTAATTGTATATGCAAATTTTGCAACACCAGTATCTATCACTTGTCCATGTATTTTATCGGCGTATCCACCATAATATTTGAAAACAGCTTCCACCTCGTTAACATCCGCAACGGCGTCATTATAGATCTTTCCATTGTCCCAAGTTTCGATAGTTGCAAGTAGTTCTGTATGTTCGGCAATGATAGTGGATAGTTTAATCATGAGGGAACCGCGATCGGTAGGGGACATATCGCGCCATTCAGGGTTACGCATAGCTGCTCGAGCTGCTTTGACTGCGGTATCGACATCTTCTGCTGATGCAGCATATACGGATGCAATTTCTGATTCATCTCTAACCATGAAGTTAGCAGAGTCGTAATATGCCGAGTTGAAATTTGACATACGAGGGATTGATAGATGTAATCTTTTGACCTGTGCTACTCTTCACCCATTCATTGTTAATGAATAGACCAGTTGGCTGAACGTATTTCTTGCCATTGGGGGCAGTGAGCTCAACAGTAAGATCAGACATCTTGGCAAATGTACTGCTGAAAGATCTGTGATAAGGTCGTAATGGAAGGATAGAGGACTTGGCAGAGAATTCGGTCTTCACTCGAGGAGCTGCACTAGATAATTGCGAGGAGAATCTTCGAAATGCTGTATTACGCAGATATGATTGCAGAGGAGGGATAACTTTGAACATCTGAAGGGGGAGTTCAAAGACTAGAGGAGATACAAAGCTCTTTTATTGAAGTCACCATAGGTGGTGCAAATGCGGGGCTTTTTTGCTTCTGGCTATTGTTGGTTCGCAGGTTTGTCAAGGTTACAGCTTGGTGTATTGGTGCTTGGTGGGATGAAAAGATAAGACCAATGATAATCAGATTCTAGTGGAGTTCTTCGGCTGGCCCTTCCTATAATGTATAAGCTTCACGAAGCTGTAGCTCCCCCGCACCATTACCGACGATTGTCTCCCTCATCTCAATAGTAAGAGCAACTCTTATCTATTCAAGACATCTATATTCAATTTCAATCTTTATCAGACATTGAGATGATGATAATTGTGATAGGTAAAGGATTTGATATGGGATTCTCCGGTGCCTCGAAAAGAGCTGTTTGCAAGTGAGACCTGTACATCTCGGTTTCTCTTATCCATACCTAGGAATGCAAGCTACGCCTCTCGCCAACTTAATTCAATCACACAGCATGGAAAAGGTCAAAGATGGGAATCAAATATGGTATTAATTTTGGCAGTAATGATTCCATCTATCTATATGTACTGAATTATATGTAGAACGTGGTGGTTCCAGGGTCAAATAAAGGCTCCTCTAACTCCCCATGGTGTGCTAAACTTGAGGTTATACACAATATCGTTGTACAATCTGATGTTTTTTGTATATGATAAATCAGCCTTCCTAGCCCTGGAAAAGCAATATGGTTTGCAAATACAACCTTCTTCCGTCCAAAGCCCCTTTCTTACATGTCTCGGACCCCAATTTTGCCTCCATCCTCGCTTCAGCGTGATATTAAGTGTATATATTGATATGCTTCGTAATCTTCCCACCAGACATTTTCCCTACTTGTCTCTGGGAATACCCACACCCTACTGCCCAAACAAATAAAATAACACTTCTGAAATTAACACCGCTCCTACCAATTCCCAATTGAAAATGGTATTACAAAGTAAATGATGCTTTGACCAATTCCCACTAGTTGTCCACACTCCCGTCAGAAAAGAAATGTCTCGCATTTACAAAAGAAACAAACGAAGGTAAGGAACATAATTAGCCGCCAGGGGGTATAATTAACATAAAGAGATGCAAATATCAAAATAAGAAGGTTCGGTCGCCCGAGGGTATGCAGTTCTTTTTGCAGAAATCTTGCGATTGGTATGTATAGTAGTGTCGTTTGAAATAGCGTAAATATACAGGTGACAATCAAGTAAGTATTGTAGATAGAAGAGATCGATTTGTATATTGGAGAATGTTTCTTTGATTAAATTCGGAAAGCGGATTCGTAGAATTTGGAAGACTTTTTAGCAAAGGTTTGAAGTGCTGTTGTTTCCATCAAGTGTATTATAGTAAAATTAAGTATAAAATTTATCGTCGTCCACCGTTTTCCTGTTTGGGCCAGGCTCGATCGTATGGCCCTCGCGAATAAGAATCAAATGAAGGAGGACCAGCAGATAACGACGGAGTCGATGCTCCTGTGGCTGTACCAGTTGAAAGATTATCGATGCGTAGAGGAGGCAGACTAGGCAACCCTTGTCCATGAGCGGATTGAAAACCACTTTGAACGGGTGGTAGAGTTGACGCTGGAGAATGCGAGTATGGTACGCTCATGAATTCTCCTTGGGCATCAGTCCTCCGACGTCTTGGTGGCCTTTCGCCATTGTCAGGACCTTGAAAACTCATGGATTGCGCACTTGGTGGAGGAGGACCAGGATAAGACATTGGCCTCATTGAACGAGGACTCGGTGGCCCGTGAAGTGCCATATCTCTAGTCCCAGGATTTCGAAGTAACATATCCCTGAATCGATCCCGTTCTCCCCGGTAAAAGTCTCTCTCTCCTTCTGCTTCTCTCACTCTTCGTTCAAGTTCTCTAGTCTGCGATTGGAGTTTTTCGATGTTGGATGAAGCCTCCTTCTCCTTTTCCTTTCTACGTTGTCGAAATCGCGCCGATGCTCCTGCGTTGCGCGCACGCTTCTCGTCAGCTAAACGCGACGCTTGGTGCGTGTCCACGGGTACATGATAAGCCACGCCGTGAGCCGTGGTTATTGTCAGGACACCGTAGGGCTCGGAGGCAGAAGCCTGCCTCGAGCTTGGAGTGGAGTGGAGTGAGGAACCAATCTGAGAAGCATTGTACGGACCTTCTGATGCCGCAGGCGGTGCTTGTAATTGTAATCCACTCCCTTGTTGCACTGATGAACCAAAACTGGAACCTGGAAAATAAGACCCACTTGTCTGAGGATTCTGCCCACTTTGATGATAAGGATAACCGGACGCGGGGGAAGTCTGGCTCGGTGTTTGTGAAGATGCTGAGATGCTGGGACTAGCGCTATGTTGGACACGTCCTGGAACTTGCATCTGAGAATTATCTGCTCGTCGTTCTATTGGGGTTGTGCCTGTAGAGGGAAACCCATAATGTTGGGCGTGAGATTGCCCGGATGGTGTTGCTAAAGGAGGATTTTCTGATACTGGAGTTTGCCCTTGTTCCGGCCTTCTCGGTGGCAAAAAGGGTGACTCTTGTGCATTGATAGTCCCGTGAGCCGGCGCTCTGCCTATACTGGCAGGCCGAGGTGATCTGGGTGTTAGCATTCTGCGGCCTGGGCCCCTTGGGAAATTTGGGTTAAAATTGTCTAAGGAAGGCGAAGTGCTGATGGGAGGACGATTGGAGTAAGGATGAGTAGCTGCCACCGAAGGACTTGCAGCAAAATGTGAAGTTGGTCCGGCTGCTGTAGAGATTGGTGAATCTGTAGTGCCACCACTCAATCGGCGACTGGGAGTTGCGCTTTCAGGTTCTGTCGGGTTCAAAATTGAATGTACACCAAGATCGCGCGATGGTCCCGAGGACTTCCAATCCTCTCCAGTTGATACTGGCTGAGGAGTCCGTGATGAAGGGGAAGGTAGTGTATGATGAGGTTGTGGTAATCCTCGGTTGCCCTGATCTAATTGTCTGTCTGCTTGTCGCCCTCCATGTCGAGGATCATCTCGCATCTGCACAGGTGGGAGAGTAATCTTTTGACTTTCTGGTGGTGAGCGAGATGCAGGACGAGACGCAGAAGGCCTCTGCGACATCGAGTCCTGATCCCCTAACCCTTCTTGGTCTCGAGGACCGGGACATTGACGTTTTCCCTCTCCCTCCCAACTCTGCTGGTAGCTGTGAAGCTTAGAAACAAAATCCGAAAGTCGTTGTTCAAGTAGTTCAGAAGATTGTGTTCCGGGAAAACGATTTAGCAATGAAGACGCTTCCGCGTTATCGGCAAAAGCAACGAAAGAACTTTCGCGCAATGGGCGACTTAAAGGACCTTGAACAGCCAGATCGAATATCTATGGCGCTGGCTTGCCAATGAGGCTTTCCAGCGAGCGGTGAGGGGTCAGCTCTTTTTCTGCTATTCTCAGCTTCGTCACTCGAAGGTTTTAGATTCAATCGTCAAATGAAAAAGCAATAATTGTGCGCATGAATGATTATTTGGGATGTATTTGTATTGACTCCTGTGAGGTGAAGTGGTTCGACAGGGATTCTTTCGGGAGCATAAGATGTGACCGTGAATATGTAAATATGGAACGCGGGCCTTGCCTCGAACCAACAAAGGAATGAATGACTTGTAATACTGTGAGGCAAACTCACTGAGCATTAGAGATGAACGGAGTGGATGCTATAACCAGTAGTGTGGAACAAAACGAAGGCATAACGAAATAAACATACAGATAGGTGGAGATTTTGAAGGTTGGCGCACCACTCACAGTCCTTAACGAGCAAAAAAAGCTTTATAAGTGGTTGGTGAGCACCGATGGGATGTCAGAATCTAGCTCTGTCGGGTTTCTACAGGTTGATGCGGTAGTCTGGTCGTAAAGGAATACCAAAGAATGTAGAAATCGGTGATGAATGACTATAGATGGAAGAATGTGGTGGATGACGCTTTTAGCTCTGCACAACTTTCTGCATGAGGAGGAAGACCCCAAGCTTTGTGGTTCTTCGAACCGTCCCAGTCCCACGCTCATTGCTCACAGACACTGACCCTACCCTTCACCGCACCAGCACCCACAAGAGTTCATGGAATTGTTTCCAGGGTCGTAGTGAGGCGGGTCTTTTTTTTTCTCGAGGCATTAGCTAGGGTTGCTTGTTGGCTGCAGGCATTGTAGCATTATCAAGGTACCAGGGCTTAAACGTATCCTTTTGAGATGATTCTTAACAAGCCTAGAGGTTCACAATGTCCCAGGAAACTATTTTCTGGAGCCATACCGTGCTTGGTTCCAGCATTCGGAAAGCGGGAGGCCACGCGCAGAAGATCCTTGTGTATCACGTTATATTATATGGATAGACTACATTAACATCCTCCTTTGAGCAAAGGGCGCTTGTTAGAAAAATTTAGTTGCTGTACCTTACCTAGGCGGGTAGATGTTCTTCACACATCAATTTGTGACATAAAGATATAGATACTTGGGCGCATAGAACGATAATGCATCTAACGCTACACACATCTTGGTAGATGCATAATCTCCCCGCTATTCAAGCACCATACTCTACGACCCCTTCATACGAATTGTTGTTTGACGTACTGAAATCGCTTTGCCGTACTAAATCAGTCTTCCTTTCGGTGAAGGTTATAGAACCATGAAGGATCTCACTAGAAAAAGATAAGCACTTCTTTCTTCAACAATCAGTGCGCTGAAGGAATGGAAAGTAGTGAATTGAGGGTGGGAGGTGACGCTATCCTGCATTAGCACGGTCAAAACATGGTGTTGAAGCCACGGTCTGTGAAATGGAAGTTCCCTGTAAGCTGTAGTTGATCGAGTTCCTTGCTAGTCGAATTAGTTACTTTTCTACTTATACTAGTATAGGCTAAAGCTGATGGAAAGAAGTCGTTGCCATGTTACGCCCTGTAGAAATAAGAACTTTGATTGATGGATATCATATCGCTTTGCATTAGTACATCCGCAGTCTGCAGGACAAAATCAGTGTGGTTGGTAACCTTTCAACGTG